ATCCATGCTACCAAAGCAAGAGGTTCGATCCAATGTTCATCGATGTGTCTACGGCGTTTTCCGGAGTGTAACTCTATCAGATACGACAAGGTGTCAAAATCGTGTGAATTATTGGCGTGCATGATGCTAGCTAAACGAGAAAACAAGAATTGTATGACATATGGAATAAATCTGTCCGTAAGTGAAATATCGAACAAAGTGCAATGGTTGTCTTGTTTGACCAATCTAACTATATCAAGATAATTAATTTTTTTTTTCAAATTTTTAGCGTGATTGCAGTGAAATATTGAAGACTTCTCCGAGTTCTCAAAGTGGAGTATATGCAATTACCAGTAACGACGGAACCAGGACATGGCCTGTTTACTGCGACATGGTCACCGACGGTGGAGGATGGATAGTAAGTGTATCTTGTTTCTTCGCTTTGTCAAGATAAATATTACGATTTTACCAAATGTAATTTCAACATTATAGTTACATTTACATACATTACAAATGTATTGTCTCTGTCTCTTATACACATCTAGATGTGTATAAGAGACAGCGATATATGACACTACTCTAGTTTCATATTCTGACGAAGAAAGTAGTATCTTGCGACTTGGCCGGCAAACGTAGGCCTAGTGCTCGAGTTCCTTCTAATATCGTTTTTGTTTTCTCTCGGAACTATTTACCTGTAGGCTATTATCCATTCAACTTTTCTATTTATGTTTCGGTTTCTTTATAGCTTGAATGGCTTCACTAGCCATACTTACAACTTGGGATGTTTTTTTCTGTTAAAAAAAAATACTTGTTGTGGTGGTCGGATGGTAACACCATGCTATTGCATCTATTTTGTTCAATAATTGTTAGCATGTGCGTTTATACCAACGTCTCAGCTGATTGCAGTGCATCCACTAAATATACAATACAAACGATCTTAGTTACCTTAAATGGAATAGTAACACTGAAGCTATTGTTACCAAAGTTAATAACAAATTATTTCTATTATGGGCATTAAAAGGATAATATACAAATATTGACGGCTCATGATGGGAATGGTGAAATGCCCCTAGGATCCTATATCATACTTACCGGATCCACCTCTTCGCTCTTTCTTCATAAATCCTGTCACAAATGACGACATTATGTTCATAGAGTACCACAGTCGTGTCGTCACGACGCCAGGTGGCACTCTCTGTTGTCAACAGACGTTGGTTACAGTTCATTACGCCTGAAAGGCTTCATAGGTTTTCTGGAATAAGCATTTTAAAATCTAATCTTTTTCATAATGTACTAAAAACACAAAAGCTCGCATTATATTAGTTATCGAACACACATTTAATCATCAATTAAAATTTACAAAGAAAAAGTAAGATACAACATCTTAATAATTACGGTACGTTAAAAATTGTGATCAATGGTTTGTCAGTGAGGAAAATGGCGCCCGGTTGAACGTTTTTTGCAACGATAGCAACGGAGTAGTATCAGGACGTAACACTGTAGTACTCTATTATCACCAAAAGTACTGGTGATGACCTGGTCACGGCACATATAATTAAAAAAATGTTACCATGTCTATTAGACCAACTAACATTCTCTATTAATTGTTCATTTTCATAGGGTGTATTTCCAAATCTTCTAAGATTACCTGAAGCACCCCCTGTCTACAGAAAGGGAGACAAAGACCAAATTTCTAATTATAGGCCTAGATATTTCTCTCCTAAGCGTTTTCTCAAAGATTATCGGGAAACTTATGCACCAACGACTTTATAATTACCTGAATAAATATAATATTCTCTATACCCATCAATACGGCTTTCGCCATAGTCATTTCAAATCCCATGCTACTCTTGATTTTAGTTAATAACATTACGAATGACTTCGATAATAAACAGTTTTTGCTCTCCATCTTTTTAGATTTATCTAAAGGCTTTTGCTTTATTAACCAGAATACTATTATTTGTAAATTATTTAATTATGATATTAGGGGAGTTGCATTAAATTGGTTTAAAATCCATTAGGAAAAGCACAAGCTGTATGTTGCCATAGGTTACTGCAAACCATCAGTGAGAGATGTGACCTGCGGAAGACCACAAGAGTCTGCAGTAGGGCCCATTTTATTTTAAATTTTCGTAAATTATGACCTTCCTCAAACGAGTGATACTCTAACGGTAATATCCTTTGCAGATGATATTTTTTTTATACCCACTTAGATCTAAATGTTAATACTGTTAACACAGAACTACACATTTTCACTGAATGGTTAGCCGCAAATAAAATTTTCACACCAAAATAAAAAATAAATCTTTCTAATTTGAAAACTTTCAAATTTGAAATAAAAAAAAAAAATGAAATAAATAGTAGATTGAGCGAAAAAACTATACTTTGCTTCTTGGTGTGTATATAAGAACAGTTACGTTGGATCAAACAACAAAATTATGTTTCTAAAAGAAATTCTAAAGTGATTAGTGTAGTTAGTAGATTGCGATCTTCCCCTAATATACTCTACCAATATTAACAATACGCTCATTCAACCCCACCTTCTCTATTGCAACCTAATTTGGGCAGCTGACTACCCCACAAATTTAGAAAAGCTTTAACAAATTAATTAAACGTGCCGTTCGAAAAATTACTTTTTCTGACTATCTTGCTCCCTTTAAACCTCTTTGTAAAAAAAAACTAAATATACTTAAAATTAATTAGCAGAAAGTCGCCAAATCAAATTAGTACAATTGATTAACAACAAACAGCTAACTGCATAGGCTGAAAAGATATATTGGTTTAGTTGTTTTTTTTAAATTTGTTTATTTATTTTTATTTTTCTCTTAATATATTTTAGAAATTGTGCATGTTTATTTTGTAAGTTTCACCATAATCATGATATTTGTGAGTTCAACGTTTTCAGCCGTCTGGCTGTTTATTGTACATTTTATACCGTAATATATAATTTTTTTTAAATAGTATATTGCTGGATGAGTGCTTTAAATTGTTAGTTTTAGGGGACACCTTTTTGGTGTCGTTCTACACATTTATAGCAATGTCTATCTGTTCCTTAGGAAAAGTCTGTAGCAGATTTAGAACTGCGACTCTAGCAAAACCAGATAATTGGCAAAATGGTGACTGTGTGCCTAGTAGAACTATCCATGCTACCAAAGCAAGAGGTTCGATCCAATGTTCATCGATGTGTCTACGGCGTTTTCCGGAGTGTAACTCTATCAGATACGACAAGGTGTCAAAATCGTGTGAATTATTGGCGTGCATGATGCTACCTAAACGAGAAAACAAGAATTGTATGACATATGGAATAAATCTGTCCGTAAGTGAAATATCGAACAAAGTGCAATGGTTGTCTTGTTTGACCAATCTAACTATATCAAGATAATTAATTTTTTTTTCAAATTTTTAGCGTGATTGCAGTGAAATATTGAAGACATCTCCGAGTTCTCAAAGTGGAGTATATGCAATTACCAGTAACGACGGAACCAGGACATGGCCTGTTTACTGCGACATGGTCACCGACGGTGGAGGATGGATAGTAAGTGTATCTTGTTTCTTCGCTTTGTCAAGATAAATATTACGTTACGTTACCAAATATAATCTCAACATTATAGTTACATTTACATACATTAGAAATGTATTGTCTGCATTCGCTAAAATAACATATATCCATATCGTAGTATCTACATGAAATTGAATAGCATTTAATACTGTAGACAAAATTTGCACAGAAACCCCAACAACCCCAATCTTTATATGACTCTCAAATCATATGGCAATTTTTCCGATAATGTTGTTTAGAGCTAAAAAGCTAGATGTAAATTTAGGTTTTTCAGAAACGTCAGTCTAGTTGGACCGATTTTAATAATTCGTGGTTACATTACAAGAATGGTTTCGGCACTATGTGTGATTTCTGGCTAGGGAACGAACTAATCCATCAGATAACAGCATCTGGAGAGTACAGCCTTCGACTGGATATGACTACGACAAATGGTGACGTTTACTTTGCAACATACTCATCGTTTACCGTCAAGGGAGAGAGTGACAAGTACAGATTGGAACTTGGAGATCTAATAGACGACAATGCTGGTAAGCATTATTTAACTATCAGTCCCATTTAGTTTACTTGTATACTCCACCATAAGTTTTCCTGCACCAAGGGCAATACGAACAGGTCCTCAACTCAATAGCTTAAAATTTAATGTGATGCACAGATTTTAAATGTGGGCTAGTCAGACCATTGCTTTTCCTTTGCAGATTCAATTATTTTTTTTTTTATGGATAATGAGCTAAGGCAATTCCAAGAACCATCACATAGCTCCCATTTCAAGGGCGCAGCCAAGGTAAAATTTTTAGAGGAGTCGCATTTCATATATTACATTGTTTTTTCCATATTACCGATAATTTACTACTATATTCGTGATATTTTTTTTATTTTTATTAATTTGAGGGAGTCAGGACCCCATAGACACCCCACCCCTCTCACTGCCCCCTGCATTTCATAGTAGTTATAAAACACTGATATTTTTTTATGCTATGAGTAAACTCTAGCTTTCCTCCAGTGTTAATATCAATCAATGAACAAACTCACAAAGATGTTCAATAAGCCTCGAATAGTCATAAATGTTTGAAGAATAGTAGAAGTTTGTAATCCATCTTGCTATGGTAGCCGACTAAACTAAAACAATATTGTACCTAATTGCCGTACTTTTTTGGAAATATATAATTTATCAACAGTTAAGACGAAACCTGTTAAGTTCACACTGTCTTGAAAGGTGAGTTTTTGAACGCAGCCTGTGCATATAAAATTATCTCACTTTTTATTTGTAATACTGTAAAATTTGATAAAAGATCATAGCAAAACTAGATGATGATCACAGCAAAAAAAGAATTATATAGGCCTATTGTTTGTTGTAATAATAATACAAAAAAACGTTTCTGTGTAGCAACCCTTGATTTATAAATCAATAAATTTACACAGTTTGCTCATAATAACTCAATTAGATTATATTCAACAAGAACCCAGGTATGAGAGAGAGTAGCTTGCACTGGTTTAGCGGGGCGCGTTTTTTTTTTTTCCGTACGAAACATTTGCATGAAACTTCACTCGGGCCATCTTGGATTGACTCGAGTGAGTACGATACGAGGAACAATAGTCCGGCAGCTTAGCAGATGGATGTGGACGTTTCGGACAAAAGCACCAATTTTTTTTTACATGCTCCTTATGGTCATAGCATTCAATTTTTGGTAGGAACCACCTCATCCGGGGTCATTATGGCGGCCATCTTGGATTTCAAAATGGCCGCCTAATAAAACCTATGTTTATCTATATCTCCGCTTCTAAACCATTTGGAATTATAATTCTAACGTCTGAAACTATTTTTAAATGGTCAAGGAATACAATCATATCATTTTTTAACTGGTCAGATTGCCACAAATTGGTCATTTAAGGTCATTCAAGGTCAAATATTGTATGGTATCTTAAAATTACATAATTGTCATATTTTACATTAGAACCATACCCAGACTCTCAGAATTCAAAATCTTTACAATGAACTACAATATTTCATTCGAAGTCATTCTGGCGGCCATCTTGAATTTCAAAATTGCTGCCACGCAAATCCTATATTTATTAATATATGGGTTTTTAAACCATTTTGATGAGAATTAGGCCTATGATATCTAAAATTATATTTCATGGTCAAGGATTTATAACACTTGTTGTGACAAGGTCAGATGGTCATTAATGTCATAAAAGGTCATTCAATGTGTATACCATACCATTACCATTTTTTACCTGGTCAGATTGCCACAAATAGGTCATTTAAGGTCATTCAAGGTCAAATATTGTATGGTATCTTAAAAATTACGTAACTCATGTTTTACATTAGAACATTAGAATCATACATTCATTTGGTGCTATGCCATTTTGGCAGGTCTTATGGCATCCAGTATTTTAGAGCTGCCTATTCTCAGCTCTTCTCTTAATTTGAAAATAACTGTCACCCTGTTTCATTTGATGAAGAAAAACGCCGCGCTTTTCCTTACTCTTTGTGATTTTCCCAGAAAGCGTCTTGTAGGCCTAGGTAATTATGCAAAACCAAGGCCTAACTAAAAAATTAAAATTGTCATAGTATGTAACTCAAGTTAAAATAACACTTTCATTACTCGTGCAGCTTAACCAAAAATTATTATATGTCATTTTAAACGACCCATTAACATGTAACATCAATGTATTTTTAAAAATTAGACAGACGTTCTCTCAGAAGTTGTTTTGTAGACGTTTATCTGTTGATAACCTTTTGACCTCCTGAATTCTGCAATGAGATTTTCGGGTCGATTCAGCCGAGACGGCCGGAGTGGAGTTTCATGTAAATGTTTCGTACGCAAAAAAAATCGCGTACCGTACAGTACTTATTTATGTTCACTGATGGAATACGACGAACCGTACCTGCATTAACAAGTGACAACATTCCATCCCACACCCAAATTGGGGTACCAGGTGGAAAGGGGAAAAATGAAAGATATCTCTGGTTCATAGTCCTATCACAGAAAAAACAAATGTAAAGAATGCTTTTGGAAAAGTGTTTTCCAAACAGTTATAAATTACTACATACTTTGATACTTGATTGCTTGAACCTTTATTCATAAAATCAGGTATTAAAATAGACTTCTTTAAAGTGAAGCACACGCCTGGTTGTAGTAAACTCAATTGATGAATTTCTCATAAGAAAACGAAAAAATCCGTAAAATATTTAGAAGAAAATTAAGAACATGCCAGAAGCTGAAAATTAATATTTGAAACAAGATCAAATTATATAATCTGAATGCAGGCTAAACATTTATGTAGGCCTATATAACAATACCAATATGATTGAGAACATTAATTAAGGCTAAATTATTCAATTCTATTCAATTGTTTTATTACCTCAGGGGATGTACTTTCATTTGCACGTGGTAGAGATTTCTCAACCTACGATATAGACAATGATGATCATGTTACTATTCATTGCGCTAAGGTTATTTCTGGTGGTTGGTGGTATTCAGACTGCTTTAAATGCTTGCTAAATGGCTTGTTAGTAAACTTCAAGTGCGCGATTAATGATGCGTTTCCCAAGCTGCCGTTGAGTCATTCGGAGATGAAGATGAAGAGGAGGCTGTAAGTCGTTTTCTCTTTTGAGGAAACTTGTAATAAAAACAAATTGTAGAATTTTCAAGTGAGTTTAACAATTAGTGTTTAAGATGAAGTACGCATGGAAATTATGTTGAATGATATAGCTCTATTATATTTATTATTTGTAATGTTAATGTGGTGAAGACTATTATATTGAATAGAAACAAATCGAGTACATTATACAATTAGTAAGTCAGACCTTAGATTAATCAACGGCTATATACTAGAATAGAATACACAATAGAATATTTTTCTATTGTGAAACTGATAATTATTCATATAATATTTTATATATATAATATATTTTATATATATATATATATTAATATTATATGTAGTGTTGTCTAAAAGAAATAGGATGTTAGGCTTAATTTATAGAACATGTTTTAAATGTTTTGACCAGATATCGACACTAAAAATGTTAAATTTTGCACTGGAGAACTCAAATCTTGAATTTCCTGGTCACGTTTGCTCTCCTTTTAAAATAAATGAAATAAAAATTAATCTAATAAATACAAAGACGGACTACGAAAAATGATATATAGGCCCAGACCTGATGAAATCCGAACTGCCTATCCCGCCAGGACTAGAAAACCGAAGGAATATAAGTGATCCTACTCTTTTTTACATGATATGGGAAAGAATAGGCCTAATTTATTTTGATATTAATACTGGTTTCTCGTCTTATTCACCGTTTATATACATTCCGTGTCACTCAAGCCGCCAATAACTAGGCTACGCATATATAT